TTTTATTCCCACTTTATCCCTCCACCCCGCTCTCTCCCTCCTTGGTAACCATAAATTTGTTTTCTATGTCTGTAAGTCTGTTTCTGTTTTGTAAATAGGGTCACGTCATTTTTTAAGATTCCACATATAAGTGATATCATATGGTATTTTCTTTCTCTTTCTGGCTTACTTCACTTAAAATGACAATCTCCAGTTCCATCCACGTTGCTGCAAATGGCATTATTTTATTCTTTTTTATGGCTGAGTAGTATTCCATTGTATAAATATATCATAACTTCTTTATCCAATCATCTGTTGATCCTTCTAAGGGGAGTTAGACTCAACTTACCCACAGGTCTGTGTTACCCCAAGTGAGATAATTCCTTAGTAATTTCTCTAGTGGCCTTAAAAGACCTTGGACCTTGGTTTCACATTTCCACAGTTGGTGAAGTTACAGATATTTCTTACTCTGACTTTATCATCCATATTCCCTGCCTGCCACTTCAAGCTTCCTTTATTCTGAGTCGCTTACAGTTCTGCCAGAGTACACTAAGCTTTCTTGTACCTTGGTTTCTCTGCACGTCCTATTCTTCTGCCTAGAATGTCCCAGCCTGGCTGGTCTTAACTGGCAAATGCCCAAGCATCTTTAACATTACTGCACCTTTGGGGCCAGTCACCACTTAGGTAGAGCTCATCGCTCTCTCCTGTGTACCACCCACATGCCTTGATCTCGGCCCCATCACATCAGTAAATGTCTTGTCTCCCCTACTAGATTGTGATTTTTAATAACATGACCAGAGCCAGGGATTATTTATTTAAATGTGGAGCTCCAGTACAAATAATGTCAAAAATATGTTAAGTGCTTATTGTCTACTGCTTAAATGAATAAAAGAGTGAGGTCCTAATGGGTTGCCAGACTGAAGCCTCGCCCATGACATCTGATAACTCATCATATCCCATAGGCCCAGCACATACTAGATTCTTTGTAAATGTTTCTGGGATAAAGAGATTAAATGAGTGAATGCATCTTGAAACCAAACATTTTCTTGTTCATTTCCAATTTTCACTGTGATCAGTACTTTCTCCAAATGAAAAATCAACTTCCTTCCACAAGACTCCATTTTGAGTTCCCCAAAGTTCCTTTCTAAGTCTGCCACATCCTGCCTACCTACTTGTTGTTTGAATCTGGACTTTATAAACACTCAGAACAGACGAAGTTTTCACAACAGGCAAGAACCAAAGAGCAGACTCTCACTGAACGGAGCTCCTGATGAGGTTACTATTAACATCAACACAACTCTGGTTCGGTTATGAGTTGTGATGATTAAACATGAGAATACTTGTAAAAGGGTTTTGTATAGAGAGATTAATGTAGTATAATTAATAATGTTGCAATAGAATAATAAAATTTGAGGGTAGTAACTCCTAGAATTTACCCAGTTCATTCTCCTTAAAAGCTCAGGGAGTGCATTTGTAAATCTTTCTATTTGACATTAATACAGATTGAGGTCATCAATATTTAACAGAATGAGAGAAATCCAAGCAACTGTAAATACCAATTTAGAGGTTAGCAAGAATATAATTTTGAAAGGCACACCATTTATAATTAAAATAGCTAAGACTATTAGGCTAATTGCAAATTTTCCTTAAGATAAGAAACAAAAAAATATAAAATGAAATTCTACTTGTCATGTCATAAAACAATATACTAGGAAAAGTTCTCTAAACATGTATTTTTTTCTTTAATTAAAGTGAATGATTCTTTGTGTCCCTTTGTAAAAAAAAAGCCAGTGCTCCTTTTCCTCATGTTTAATGTGGAAATTAATATTACTCATTTGGATTTCACAATCTCTGCTTTCCACTAGTTAGCATTTTCCTCATTCATGAAGGAGTAGTATATTTAGCTTCTATTGAAGTATTGAAAGAATAAGTGAAAAGCAGTGTCAAGTTATCTTAAAATTGCATTTTTTCGCTTTGCGTTTTTCCTTTGAACATCAGTTGTATGGAAAGTTCATTAAGAAGAGGAAAAGAGTAAGAAAATAATTTTTTGAAAGGAAGGAAGGAAAAGAGTAATGAGGTTTCTTAAAAAGCCGAGGTGGTATAACGGAGAGCACAGGAAGATTAGACTGAGTCAGAAAATGAGTTCTAGGTTCAGCTCTGCTACTTTGTAATCCCTCTTCTTTTAGTTAATTCTGAACACTGACTACGCTTCCCCAAGTGAATTGGAATGTGACAGTCTCTGAGGACACGCAAAGAGGAATATCTCCTGCTGGAACCAGATCAGGTCACCACTCTTCTTTATGAAGGCTTATTATTGGATTGATTATTTCACTGTGGTTCTACTTTATTAGGAAAAAGCTCCAAGAGGATTTTTTAGAGGGATTTTCACTGGGCACAGTTCTACTCTTTGCCACCTGTTCCCTCTGCCATTGCCTCTATCTTGATGCCCTTGTAAGAGCCCTGGAGACTGAGAGGGTCCCACTGTAATTGGAAACACTCATTTTGGGATACATGTGCAAAGCTGAAGGTGATCTTGCTGGGAGGTTGCTATGACAATTTGCAAACAGTAGAGGCCATGGGACTCCCCGCAGGAGGTTGGCCTGTTAGGATATGAATCTGCACTAGCTCAGGCCTCACACTTAGTCCTGCCAGGGGCTCGCAGCTACACAGCACAGATCATAATGGACCCAGGTCCCCAAGAGAATTTCAGAACCTGGGCACAACTCAAGAAGAAAGTGCATGGCAAGCTTTCAGTTCCATCATCTGGGATTATCTGGCTTTCCCGAAATCCTCTCCTATTGAAGTGACAAAACCTGTGACCTCTGGACACAGGCATGTGCCACATAAGGCAGGACACGGGTGTGAGATGGGCAAGCAGTCTTTCAGTCTGCAAGGAAAACAGAGCCCATATATGGCAAATTAAAAGGACAGGGAAACTCTCCACGTGTCTTGGATGGGAAGGGAAAAGAGACTTATGTCTGGAAACCAGACGAATTAAAGGTGTTGCTCAGGAAGGTGTGTCTCACCCAGTGGCCGCACAGGCGAAAGGCTCGGTGTTGTAAGGAAATGGGAGGTGTCTCTGATGTTTATTTTTGCCTAGCAACCCACAGCCAACTGCTTCCCCGGGAAGCCGTCCACAAGCGCCTCTCTGCCTCCCCTTGTCCTAGAGCCTGGAAAGCGGTCACTTCGTGTCAGTAAATAGGGGAGGGAGTGTGTGTGTGGTGGAGGTGCAGGTAGGAAGGGCAGCCCCCTCCTTGGCCCGCACTTGGGATAACCAGTCTAAGGCGTGGCCCTCCATCCGGCTTGATTTACCTTACTGAGGTGACCCTCGCACAACTAAGTTATTTACACGAACAGTTGGGAAGAGGGGGGTGCTTAAACCCCTGGGACCGGGAAGGTGGGGCAGTATTGTTTGTGAGCAGCCATTAGGTTTGAAAAGCTGAAAATGCATTTGTGTCTGGGGACGCCCTTGGAAGGGGAGGGAGGGGTCTCTGCAGCGATTTCGGTGGAGGTGGGAGGTAAGAGGGAAGCAGTGGTAGGTAGGCTAGGGGTCCTGCAGGGGCTGGCGAGGCCGGGGAGGGGAGAAGGTCGTGGGCTGGGGAGCTGAGGGGAGCGGTGCAGATGGCTGGAGGGGGAGGCGGAGCGGCGAGCTGCAGAGTTTTCCGGGGAGTGGAGGGGTGGCTCTGCAGATGACTAGGGGGCGGGGAGGG